AGCAGATGGTCCACATCCCCCCCCCCCCCATCTCCGACTGCCTTCCCATTGGCTGAAATATGTCAATTATATCATATGGCCAATACAAATATTTATTTAAATAAAATGTCTTAATATTTTAAATATTTCAATAAGACAAAAGAATCGTATGAAATAAATATGAATCCTTTTATATTTTATTTTGTAATAAATTTGTTTTTTGAGTAGTCATGTGACATCGTGACGTTGACGGTTTCACTCTCATTTTATCATCCAATCATTCGTTCATTAACAGGATAGCTAACCGTTAATAAGTCCAACCTAAAATGGATATTCAGCGATTTTTAAAACGTACTTCTTCAACTACAGCAGTTGAACGAGAGCCGCCCGGGCCTTCCTGTGATTCGAATCAGGAAACACCCGGGACCAGGTCCCGAACAGCGAGCCCAGCTAACTGCGCACCGGTGCCGCCACCGGGCTAATTAGCGAGCTTGGCCACAGCTGAGCCACCACCAAACTCTCATTAACTCTGCGGCGTTTACTTCTGCACCAGGTAAGACACGTTATTTAACACGTGTAGGTCTGTACTGTATGTTTACAACCACACTAACAACTGTTGTTGAGCGTCTTCTGATTGTGATGAACAAAGTTGAACTTTATTGTTGGCTGCCAGTGAACTTCAGTTGCTGCCATGCGCTGTGTAGTTTGTCTTTATGGGAGGCTCGGTACTGCTGTTTGTACTGTTGTCTGTACTGTTGTCTGTATACTGTATGTGTAATTGATGATGTCACGGAATAGTTCTAATGTACAGCGGTGTGAACAGTGAAGCTACAATAAACACTTTCAATCTTTTAATGTTGTGCCGTGACGTTAAAGTCAAACTCCGCCCGTGTTTCCTCCCCCTTTCACTCAGTTTGGTGTGTAAGCATTTAGCAGACCCTGCCCCCCCTCCTCCCCTAACCTCGCTCATTTTGATGTGTGGGAATTAAGGATCTTCCACTCTATCTCTTTCCCCGCCCCCCCTCTCTCTCTCCCTCTCTCCCTCTCTCTCTCTCTCCCCCTCTCGGAGCAGGAGAGCAGAGCTCCTCCACCGTCTCCCTCCTCCGTCAGTCTCCTCTCCTCTCCTCCACAGCAGCCTCAGCAGCTTCATCATGGATGTTTGGACTCAAAGAGTCCCTGGGATTATCACCATCACCATCATCACTCAGGTGACGCTGCTTCTCTGCAGCTCCTACCGGACAAGAGCACAAGGTAAAGACTCACTCTGTCTGTGTGTGTGCGCGCGCGGGCGCGCGAACGTATGTCTCTGGTACTTTCTCCCTGGGAGTCGCTGGGCAGTGCGGAGCTGCAAGTTTTCCATGTGTTTGTTGTGAGGTTGGGTTCAGGTTCACGTGTGTTCTGTGAGCCTGGGGTTCTGGCTTAAACAGTGAGAGTTGAAGTGGTTTCAGTTGGTTGGATGTTCTGATGGTTCCACACTTGGTCCTGCACAGACAGACCCCAGGGGGCGCTCAAGCACTTGCCCCGGTGCACTCCGAGCAGACGTTTGAAAACCAGTTGTTTATTTTTCTGATGTATTGACGTGAACCAGATGAACAGGGACTCAAACACACACACACACACACGTGTCTTTATTCCCATGACCAACTCAGTGTCTTGTCCTTGGACACATCGGCATGTAGCCCTGTGAGAGCCTCTTACTGTATCTACCTACTGCACCACAGCACCCCCTGGTGGTTCTGAGTTTTGGTCTTTGGACCAGCGCTCTGAGCCAATCACAGCTGGTCTTGTCTGTGAAGCAGCTGAACCAAAGAGTAGTTTTTTTCTGCTCAAACATTTGGTTTCAGATGAAATCGTCTTCAGACGCCTGGTCGTCCTCAGACCTGAGGGCGTCCTCAGACCTGTGGGCGTCCTCAGACCTGTGGTCGTCCTCAGACCTGAGGTCGTCCTCAGACCTGAGGTCGTCCTCAGACCTGAGGGCGTCCTCAGACCTGTGGGCGTCCTCAGACCTGTGGTCGTCCTCAGACCTGAGGTCGTCCTCAGACCTGAGGGCGTCCTCAGACCTGTGGGCGTCCTCAGACCTGTGGTCACCTGATCCCTGCCTCTGTTTCTGCTCCACTCGGGCCGTGCGTGCAGTGGACTGTGACAGGTCGGTGCTGACGTTCTCCAGAGAACGGTGTCCTGGTCTGGACACGTTCTGATCAGCAGTCTGATGTGGGCTGCTGAACGGAGCAGAGCAGAGCAGAGCAGGATTTCTGGGACGGGGACTTGGACCGTTGGACTCTCACGTGTGTCACTGACTGTTGGCGTGCTGTGTAGCTCCTCCCTCCACCTTCCTCCCCCTCCTGCCGGAGGGAGAGGGACACAGAAGGAGTGGGAGGGGAAAAAAACTGTCATATGATCGGGGAGGAGGAGGAGGAGGAGGAGATGATGAAGCTGTGAGTTTAACGACACACGTCTGTAGGTAATGGAAGCAGATGGCTGGAAAAGTTTTTCATCCAACCGTGGTTTTTCTCTCTCTTCACCCCCATCGTCAGCTCTCATCAGTGAATGGCAGCTTTGGAATTTAAATCACCAGTTTCTGCAAAATATGATCTTTTTTTGTATTTTTTTTTGTATTATTCTGTTGAAAAATCAAATTTTGTTTTCTGGGAATTCATGGAAAAAAATTTAGACACATGGTAGGGGGCGGAATTAAGTGTTTTTAAATTTACGTTTTGCAAACCAATCCCTCTCATCATTTCCATGATATAAAATAAATACAGATTTTTATGATGTACTTTATCGGCTTTTGTTATGTCTCTGATCCTTCCCCTCAGCTCTTGACTGCCACCCCATGGCCACTTGTATAGTTACGGTGCTAGCAAACGTTAAGGTTTTTTTAAAAAAAAGCACAGATCTGCATTCATAGCACCCCCTGCAGGGGGAACGAGGAATTGTTTGTAAAATTTAATTTTCTTCTCTTTAGATGAAAGGATGAAAAATTATTCCAAATTATTTGGTGACCCAAAAAAAAATCCCCTCTGTGCTCGTTGACACAGTTAGAGAGAATCGAGACTATTTTTACTTTTCATCATCATCATCATCATCATCATCATCATCATCATCATTCCTGTTTCCTTAAT